ATTTATTGAATTAACCTATACTCTCATAATCACTCATCAAACAATCTCGCTTAGTTTATTCATCAATTGAAAAAATAAATAAATAAAAAGCGCAAAAATAAAAAGAATGACAAATAAATACAGGAATAAAAAAAAATCTTTAGTAAACATTCTAATTAGCGATTTTTTTGTTGCGCTGACTTTTGCCTATCATTTTTGATAGCTGTACGTACGTATTATGCAAATTGCGTGTTTCATATATATTCTTTATATACATGCAATTTATAAAACGTTACGTCAGAGGTGATACATAGCGCATCAAAAAATGTCATAACTATAATTTCATTGCACTATACACCTTAAAAATTATACACTCACATTGTACACACTAACAGGGACCGTTAAAAGATTCTCCGTCTTGCATGGTAAAATATAATAATGAATTACCAATGTGATTAATGTATGAACAGACACATCAATAGTTCTTTTTGGACATTAAGACGATATGTCTTATTAGAATCATATATCGTGATTTAGAATACATTTTTTTTCTCAGTTTCAAAGACAATCATATTCCGTCCCGCATTGTGTCAAAAGAATTATCGCTACATCGATTGTGTAGTCACGGAATACTAAATAATTCGTATGTCTGGTTTCAATGCAAAACGGGCTAGTTACTATTATTATTGTTGGAGGTAAATGTTTTAAATAATAAACGAGTTAGATATTTTCAAAAGTGTGACATTTAACTGCATATCGAAATATAAATCAAACAGTGCACATACATATTGTGGTAAACAAACAAGCTGTGTGCAGATATATTGTATTTATACGGATGCCGTTTTCCCTGATCGCAACTCAACTTTGTCGCATCTGTTGTTGATATTTGTGAAAGGATTCAAATTTTGCTAGTCGACCGGAACCGTACATACATTTTTTGGCTTGGTTTACTATTATAAGTACATTAACATATTTTTTCACCCAAAATGACAACAATTTCGCTTAAAATAGAGAATAAGTGATATCACGGCGAAAGAAACAAATCTGACAGAGATCCGCTTAAGGTAATATTTGTTACCATAAGTGAAATGATCGACAAAAATAAAATGATAATAATATCGTCACGAAATAAACAAATCGGACGATAATGTAATTGACGACAGACAACGGACAGTCACCTATATTAAGGGCTGCAGAGTTAAAACCCACAACACGGATTCGAACTGAATGGTTATAACTTTGTTCAAACAATTGATACCCCAACTAGAGTAACGCAGAATACAAACATCATTATTGATCACGTGATTACAAATATTACAGATTATATCATCGAGTGTGGTAGTATTGAAACCGATATCAGTGACCATTATACAACCTTTGCTATAATTAAAAACCCTGACCATGTCCTAAACCATAACACATTATTTCACAAACATGACTTTTCACGCTACAGTAAAAGCGATTTTATTTCCGATTTGAGCAATATTTCCTGGCAACCCGTATATAGCTGTAATGATGTTAATTATGCATATGCGACCTTTTGCGACTTGTTCTTAGGTACTATTATAAAACACGCCCCATTAATGCAAGTCAGTATAAAGAAGACCCCGATACGTAGATCTTGGTTATCAAAGGGGCTAATTATTTGAACTAAATCAAAATTTAAATTATATTGTAAAATGAAAAGATTGCAAAATAATGATGAAATTCGAAATGAATATAAACAATACCGTAATATCTTGACAAGGATACTACCACACAATATTTTTGTCTGCCAGTGGAAATATGAACAAAACATGGATGACAATTAATGAAATATTAAATAAAAAGACTAGCATGACATCACCTAAAAATATTATGGCCAACGACGATAAAGACAGAATATTATCAAAAAGCTTTGATATTGCAAATGAAATTAACAATTGCTTACTAATATAGGGCCCGATCTTGCAGCAAAAATAACAACGCCCACTAAGTTTAATGAATATCTGTCAGGAAATTACCCGAACTCATTATTTTTCCATCGAGTCACTGAACATATAAAAGAAAAAACCATGGGATATGACCACATACATCCAAGATTTGTGATTGACGCTATTAATGACATTACCAGTTCACTCACACATATTGTCAACTGCTCTCTGACCAAAGGCAAATTTCCGGATGCATTAAAATATGCTAAAATTACGCCTATCTATAAAAAATGGATCTGCTTTAGATATAAATAATTATAGACCAATCTCAGTATTGCGTGCGCTTAGTAAAATAAATGAATCTGTGGTTAAAAAACAGCTTATGGCATTTCTGAACAAATTTAACATTGTTTTAAATACGTGGTTTAAGTACGGTTTTGTAAAAAGTACAGCACAAAGCTCGCCCTTGCTGATTTAATCTCGGAAGTCACTGGTGAATGGGATGAAGGGATTATTACTTTTGGTAT